GACGGTTAAGCAATTGAAACCCCCTACACACGTTCAAATGTGTGGCCAATAAAGATCAGGATGGTACATTGCATTAGTTGCGCCAAACAGCCAGAGAAAAGATACGAAAAACAACATTAGTGCAATCTCCGCGGTGAAACAAACCAGTGGAAAAAGCATGGGAAGCAAAAACATTGGCTACGAATAAATGGAAGAAAGCACGAAAACTACGACCAGCGAATGAGGAAGACGTGGAGAGAAAACAACAAGATATACAAACCCTGAGTAACGCATTTAAAATCTGTGTCAAAGAGGCTAAGAAAAGCAACTGGGAAAATGTGTGTATTAGATGTAAACAAAAGGTTGGGAAAAGGGGGGGGGGGGGGGCAACTGCATACATTCTAGAATTTGTACCGGCAATTTATTGCAAACAGTTCCATTCAGCAAATGCGAGTTATTCAGGATTCATAAGGTAGAATGTTGACAACTGACACGGAAAATGGGCAAGTTTTTTTTTAAAGGCGGTATTTAATCCAAACGGATAAAGAAGATGGGACAGATCGGGGCAACATTCTAGAGGATCTCAGACATATCACTGTCATGGACAACGTATATGAAGATCTGAAATCGACACACAGCTGGTATTGCAAGGCAGCAGAAATGATCCTCCAGGGTCAGATGGTGTAGGCAATAGTTGAAAAGAAGAAATCATGGATGGCACTAACTGAAGATGCCATCGAGACGGCGGCCTTAGTCGAGTATATAGACAGCGGGCAGGAATGTGTCGACAAAAACATCCACTAGAGTAGTTTAGGTTTAAACAACGGATCAACATCATGGCATAAGAGTAGTAACCCATGCGTGCTCTGTTCTACTTCTAACTCAAGCCTGAGCCCGAACAATCTCAGCTTAGTGCACGAATCTCGTAGCACCAACGAGGATCATGAAATACTTTGGGGAGATTTTTAACTCCAAATGTTGTTCGGCAGCGCCGTTAGGCTACTGTTTTCAAATTCCACCCACCAAGGGATTGTTTACGTGCAACCGATCCTACTACCCTGAGACCAAGAGAAATGACTACTAGTATTCATCAGGTCAAAAGCACATTGGGAAGAGCAGGTAGACTGTGGTGTCAAGGTGTGGCAGAATTAGAGGTACAACAATTGCCACATGAAAACGCGAGCTTTGATGGTGCAACAGTGTACACAGAGGGTTCTGTTTATCGGGGTGTAAGATCTAGCTGGGATATTTAGCTAAAATGAAGGTAAAGATTGCAGCTTTTTTTTTTTTTTTTATCTATAATATTTATCGTGCGGATAACGGTTGAGTAAATCACTGTAGCCCTGATTTGAATAGCAGAGAACAAAGTTACCAGAGGAATTAGTGTGTCTGATTCTCAGCCGTACTGTGAAAGGTTCACAATGGACTAATGTCGCGTGAGTGGATACCAAACACGCCAGCATTGCAGGGAATCCCGTGGATGCACTGTCCGGTAGATGCAGGAGTGCCAGAGAATAAAAGAGTGGAATTTCTGGCTATAAAAGGTACACTTGTACTGGACAAGTGAGATATTCTAAAGATCATTTATGAAAGAATTTGACAGAAAACACGAGATTAGAGGATACGACACGTGTAAGAATGAGTGAACGAGGAATTAGGAGTCGATCCAGCAAGGAGATGCGTATGAGAGCAAATATAAGGAGATGTGTATAATCAGTGTGCTACGGAAACAGTTAGCATCTACGCTTTAAAACACTTAAAACAATGTTTTCCCGTAATGAATTTCAATAATGCGGACACAAACAATACATAGCACAATTTATTGCTAGGCATATTTCGCTGTATCTCGTCAGAGTTACATCAACATAAAATAAAACACAAAACTGAATAAATTCAACTAAATTGCGAATAGTTTATTCCGATACATTGTGTGTGTTTCATGACCGCCGGAAGCTCACCGTAGTCAAGCGACTTACTAGGGTAACTTAAAATTTACGATAAATTCCGTCTACTTATAAAGGAGGGGAATGTTGATTTTTATTGTTAAAGCTTCGGCGATTCTCAAAAGTCTCCTGTTCGGAGTGTGGTAAACCTCACGGGAAGCAGTGTCTGTGACCATTTTGTTTCCGGAATTAAGTATATGACTGCCTATTGAAGAAGCAGGTTCTTTCCTCTTTCCTCTTTCCTTTAAGATATTTGCACAAGGAGACGGGACATCTATACCCCGGTGTTCTAGGACGTTAATGATTAAATCAGTAATCAGTAATCTGACCGTGGTGTTCTCATCACTCATCAATTAAACCACACGTTTCTAGCTTAAACATGCTCAGCTGCCCTTCTTTAATTCTGTTCCGTGCCACAGAATTGGATCTATGTAGGTCACAAGAACTCTTCTCCTCGCCTAATATGAGACAAGAAGATTGTAGAGAATGTCAGCACCATTAACAGTTAACAATACAAGGAACACTGACAGTCAATCTGTACTCACCTCCATGTTCTTGTTCAGCTGGATAATAAGGAACTGTCTCTTCAAATCCCGCTCATGGCTGACATACGTGGGGTCTCCCGAGGCGGAGGGGGTCTGGGGATCCACCCTGATGGAGGTGTTGTCCACAGTGAGCTGGTGCACATGGAGAGTGATGTTGTCAGTGGCATTGTAACACGTCACCAGGATCCTCACACTGCCCTGTCGGGAGATCATGGTTTGATTCTTACACCAATCATCAAAGGTGATTGAAAACAATCTTCAGGTAGCAGATGTTCAGCAACGACGGTCACAGGTGTGTGTGTGTGTGTGTTTTTTAAGCCATGTCTGCTTCTTCTTTTTCTACTACTACTACGGCTTTTTCTTCTTCTTCTTCTTCTTCTTCTTCTTCTTCTTCTTCTTCTTCTTCTTCTTCTTCTTCTTCTTCTTCTTCTTCTTCTTCTTCTTCTTCTTCTTCTTCTTCTTCTTCTTTTTCTTCTTCTTCTTCTTCTTCTTCTTCTTCTTCTTCTTCTTCTTCTTCTTCTTCTTCTTCTTCTTCTTCTTCTTCTTCTTCTTCTACTTCTTCCTTTTTCTTCTTCTTCTTCTTCTTATTTTTTATTATTATTATTATTATTTTTATTATTATTATTACTATTATTTTTTTAATTATTTTTATTACTACTACTACTGTCCTCTTCGTCGTCTCTGTCTTTCCTCAGCTGTAAACACTAAGGAAAAGCTCTGGTTGTTCGTCCACTTCTCGAATTTCAACTTGTACCAGAACTTGAGATTTGGTTACACATTGGTTTTCCAAATATGTGTTTTTTGTACGTTGGTTCCTTGCCTCTCAGGCAGATGAAGTCTGTCTTCGAACCAAAACTCTTTTAGAGCGGGCTGTTACAACATGCTCGTTAGTGGGCAGCGGGTCAGATCTTTTCCTCATAAAAAATTGAGGCATCGAAACCCACAAGAGCTTCATTATTCATTATTGCTATTAATTATCAGGGCCTGACAAATATCAGTTTCATCTTCGTGCCAGTGCAGGTGTCCGAGGAAATGAGCAAGCTGATAGGCTTGCCGGTCAAGCTACTCTAGGGAGACAGACGGGTTGGGACGAGCAGTCGACCAGGCAGATAAAATGAATGCTCTACGAAAAGTGAGACGTTTGCGAAAATTAGGTGAACTAACTAACCAATTGTTATTAATATTATTATTATCATTATTATATTATTATTATTCATATGTATGTCATATGCCACGATCTGTATTAAACTCAGTCTCTTGCCAGCTCTGCTGACTCGTGCACTTGTATATCCAAGGAGTCACTGATATCACGTGTCCATATTTGGTCCCTGTCCCTCCCTCTTGGTACCTTGGCATCTGCTACTGTTCCGTTTCTAATCCGCTGTGGCGCTGGATATTGTCGACATACATCAGCTTCTAAGTCAAGAAGGCGTTTGCTAGGCGATCTTCCTTGGTGTTGACATCTTTTAGAATATCCGTAAATTTGACTTCTTCTTTGTAAATGATATTCTGAGCATTTTTTTATCGATCGTCAGCTCAAAAGCCCACATTTTCTACCTGAAGGAGGGCAACTAATGAGGTAATCTGGTAATAGCAGGTTCATCTTCATATCAAACAGGTTATCCCATGGCTGCTCCATCCTGGTGCCAACAAACACCACAAAGCGTGTCCTTCTCCGTGCCAACGAACACCACACAGCGTGTCCATCACCGTGCTAACGAAAACCACATAGAGTGTCCAACCCCGTGCCAACAAACACCACACAGTGTGTCCCACCCCGTACCAATGAACACCATACAGCGTGTCCTTCACCGTCCTAACGAACACCACATAGCGTGTCCCACCCCGTGCAAACGAACACCACACAGCGTGTCCCACCCTGTGACAGCAAACACCACACAGCGTGTCCCACCCTATGCTAACAAACACCACACAGCATGTCCCACCCCGTGTCAAGTAACACCACACAGAGTGTCCCACCCCGTGCCAACGAACTCAACACAGCGTGTTCATCACCGTGCTAACGAAAACCACGTAGAGTGTCCCACCCCGTGCTAACGAACACCACACAGCGTGTCCCACCCCGTGCCAACGAACACCACACAGCGTGTCCCACCCCAGGCCAACAAAGACCACACAGTGTGTCCCACCCCGTGGCAACGAACACCACACAGTGTGTCCAACCTGTGCCAACGAACACCACATAGCTTGTCCAACCTGTGCCAACGAACACCACATAGCGTGTCCCACCCTGTGCCAATAAACACCACACAGCGTGTCCCACCCCACGCCAACAAACACCACACAGTGTGTCCCACCCAGTGGCTACGAACACCACACAGCGTGTCCCACCCCATGCCAACAAACACCACACAGTGTGTCTCACCCCGTGGCAACGAACACCACACAGTGTGTCTCACCCCGTGGCAACGAACACCACACAGCGTGTCCCACCCCATGCCAACAAACACCACACAGTGTGTCTCACCCCGTGGCAACGAACACCACACAGTGTGTCTCACCCCGTGGCAACGAACACCACACAGTGTGTCTCACCCCGTGGCAACGAACACCACACAGTGTGTCTCACCCCGTGGCAACGAACACCACACAGCATGTCCCACCCCGTGGCAACGAACACCACACAGTGTGTCTCACCCCGTGGCAACGAACACCACACAGTGTGTCTCACCCCGTGCCAACGAACACCACACAGCGTGTCCCACCCCGTGGCAACGAACAACACACAGTGTGTCTCACCCCGTGCCAACGAACAACACACAGTGTGTCTCACCCCGTGCCAACGAACAACACACAGTGTGTCCCACCCCGTGCCAATGAACAACACACAGTGTGTCTCACCCCATGCCAACGAACAACACACAGTGTGTCTATCCTCGTGCCAACGAACAACACAAATTGTGTCCCACCCCGTGCCAATGAACAGCACACAGCATGTCCCACCCCATGCCAACAAACACTACACAGCGTGTCCCACCCAGTGTTGGCACTTTGGCTGTTTTACATCCAGAATTATATGTTTTCCCTTGCATTTAGATGTCGTTTTTGACGTTTAGATAGTAGATGTTTTTCTATGTTTTTCATTTGGAGTGAATTTATCAAATGTAACCTTAGAAACAGGATGAAATTTGACCTTTTAAATGCTGTCTTGACAATAAAATTTGGCTTGATAAGACTAGGAAAAGGCTGTTACACTTATCAGCTCACTGACTGGGTATTAAAAGGAATTGGAACAGCTAAAGCATACCAGAGTCATTTTGGCTCTGAAGCTTCAACTTCATCATCCAAGCTAAGTTTATCCTGTGGATCTTGTAAGGCAGACTTCAGTAAAGATGAGGACATGATTCTATAGGGTAAGTCATATCAATTGCTATGTAATTTGTGACTCTTTCCATTTGGATGTTTTTTCTAGATGTTTTCCACACAAACTTAGATGTTTTTTAGATATTTTTTTACTCCGTTTTGGATTTTTTTTTTTTTTTTGTCAAAGAAGAGTGGCAACACTGGTCCCACCCTGTACCAACGAACACCACACAGCATGTCTATTCCCGTGCTAACTAACACCACACAGCGTGTCTCAAACCGTGCCAACAAACACCACACAGCACGTCCCAAACCGTGCCAACAAACACCTCACAGCGTGTCCCAAACCGTGCCAACAAACACCTCACAGCGTGTCCCAAACCGTGCCAACAAACACCACACAGCGTGTCCCAAACCGTGCCAACAAACACCACACAGCGTGTCTCAAACCGTGCCAACAAACACCACACAGCGTGTCCCAAACCGTGCCAACAAACACCACACAGCGTGTCCCAAACCGTGCCAACAAACACCACACAGCGTGTCCCAAACCGTGCCAACAAACACCACACAGCGTGTCCCAAACCGTGCCAACAAACACCACACAGCGTGTCCCAAACCGTGCCAACAAACACCACACAGCGTGTCCATCCCCGTCTTTTGTGGAAACACTGACAGACAGTTTTGATTTCTATGATTATTATTATTGTATTATTATTATTATTAATAATATTATTATTATTACCATTATTTTTTTATAAGCGTTTAACGGATGTAAACACCGAAGAAAAGTTTTGGTGATTCGGCCACTTCTTTTTTGACATTTGTTTTGCCCCAGAATATGAGTTTTACGTGCACGTACGCTCTACATTTCTATATAATTTATAGGCAAGCTGTTGGTTTCCTGCCACCCAGACAAATGCACCTGACCTCGAAAGGAACACCCCTAATTAGTCAACTCTAGTTCTGGAAACAAAAGCCCAGAAGTGGACAAACCACCAAAACTTTCCGCCGGAGTGTATCACGGGTAAGCACTAAGAAAGGAAATGAGAAACAAAAGACTGACCCAGCATGTGAAATTACTTGGGTCCGTGAAATTCATGTTCATCTGCAGTTCTAGATCGTAGTGGAGCGGACGCACCGATGTCGGTAGTCGGTAGGTGGCTTCAACAGTTGCTGTTGTATTTGAAAGTGCTGTCAGGGAGCTGTTGAGTCCTGATGGCGCCATTGTTTGGGAGCTATGAGCAGGTGTGGAAGCGGTGGAAAGAGCGTAACTTCTTAGACCTGACAAAGTCAGTACTGATGTGGTCCGTCAATGTTTATCAGATAGAGCAACATGTTAGCTATCGTTTACTATAGTTCTTTCCTCATCTCTCTCTCTCCCTCTCTCTCTCCCTCTCTATCTCTCCCTCTATCTCTTTCTTTCTCTCTAAATCGCACTCTTTCTCTCACTATCTCTCCCACTATCTCTCTTTTTTTCTCTCTATAGCTCTCTAACTTTTTCTCTCAGCTTTATAAATTATTGGTTAACTACTAAAAAACCGATAGGCGGCAACACGTGAATGGTTGGGTAATGTTTTACGTGCTAACTGGCATTCGTAAGTGATGTGGTCAATATTATGCCAGCCGCCTTTACCTTTCTGGAGAGGGCCTGTGATCCTTTCTTGTCTTGGTCAGCAGTTGAGTCTTATTATTTTTAAGGAAAAAAACAATCCTAAAACCCGAAAACCTTCCAGACACTGCATACCTTAACTCACTTACATACGACATACTCAGCATAAACAGTGGTACCTCGGAATTCGAACTATTCCAAACTCGGACAACTTGGAATGCGAACTAAATGCTCTAGTAAATGTTGACTGAGAGCTCAGTCACCTTAGAAACCCAAAGCCTAGCATGAGAGGATCATGTGACTGAGCTGTCAAAGCAAGCGCATCAACAAGTTCACCAGCAGCAGAGAGGAAGAAATTGCAGAATAAATTTTTTCCAGAGAGGAAGGATTGGTGGTGGTGGGGGGGGGGGGGGGGAAGGGGGGGGGGGGGGTGGCATGGAGGATTAGCACTCCAGAAATCAACAATCTTGTTAACATGTGGTCGAAAATGCAAACAAGTTCAGAGGTAACACCCTGAATGGCTTCTAGTTAAAAGGTGTGTTAACTTACTCCATGAAAACATTATGGAACATTTAAAAGAAGTGTAAAAGGGCTGCAACACCAGAGCACTTTCTAGCCCTGGCTGTCAACAAAAACTGGTGACCACACGCCCTCTACAAGCGGCAAACGACTACAATACGACACACCAGGAAGAATTCCTAATGTTATCATTGTAAAATGAGTTACCTTTTAAACAAAAATCTTTCTAAGTCACTTCTCTCTTCCCCCCCCCCCTCCCCTCCCATCCCTTCCCCGCCCTTTTTTTCCTACTTCTATGTGCTATGTCACCATTTTGTTTAAGGTACAACAAACAATTTTTTTTTTAAATTTATGTCTATATGAAAAAAAATGATCGCCTTCTGTCTATATTTGCGGTGTACAGGACTCAAGACAGTACAACTTAAATTGTGAGCTTTTTAATCATGCAACATAATAATTTAATTTCCATTATTTTTAACTAGGAAAAACAGTTTAGAATTCGAACGCCGCATGTGAACGGATCATGTTCGAATTCCAAGACACCACTACATTCATTTACCGTAGAAAGCATAGTAAACATTGATACCCTGGTGCCAGTCTTGTATTGTGTGTGCACATGATCACTCAGTGCGTGATGCTGGCGCTGCACACACCCTGGAGGGGACGTGAACTTACTGGGAGCTTTGGGTGACGTAGAACGGCAAAAACCTGATAACGATAATGTTGTCGAAATGGTTAGTTGCGTATCCTTTACATGACGTTGCAGAACCAACGCCAACAGCCCCTGGCTGTTGTGTGGTTTTTCTAGACAAATTTATGTTCAGTAGTTTGCCTGCTGGACGGTCGGCTTTCTTGATACCACTGTCGAAACCAACGCAAGGCGCATGGCCCGTAGCTGGGATCGAACCCCGCATCCCGGCATTACGAAGCGTTCGCATCGACTTAGCCACAGAGCCGACGTTGTCAATATGGGACACGGTTAATTTGTTTCCCTTAGGCCTCAGGGCTTTACTGTACATATAGGTAACCAGTTTTCCTGCTGTACAGCTTACATGTTTGCATGTTCAATTGTCTGTAATTCAGTACAGACCACACAAATAGTGGCACGGTTAATAAAGTTGATAGAAGGATAAAACAGATGTCAGTCTAGACAAAATTATCGGCATACTCACAGATCTGTACGTCGGAAAGCGAAAACAGAACAATCCCGACAAGCAGCTTGTTGAAGCAACATCCGACTCTCTCACCGAGTGAAGTAAACATGTTTGTTTAGTGAACACTTCTACTTTCTAAACCTGATGCCGCTTGAACTGGCAGATTAGAAGTCGTGTCTTGATTCCGGAGCTGGGGTAATGTTTCAGCACTAACAAGACTTTCAGTCAAAATCCGTGATAACGTGTGAACACGACAACATGAATTTTCCTGTGGCAGAGCTGTGTTTTATAGAACTGTATTTCCTTGTTTAGTTTATCTTGTATCTGGTATAGGGAAGATCTCTGACGGGAAAGTTAAGAGAATCAAATTAACCGATTCATTTCATGCATACAATTCTATAATAATCACACGTTTTTGTTGCTTCAGCTATAGTTATTTTTTAAATACATGCAATTATTTAGCCTCAGTTTTAATATTGGAGACATAGAAGTAATGGTGGTATCAAATGAAAGAATTATTCCTAAATGTGTAATAAAAATAAAAGTCAGTCGTGTTGTTTTGGGACAAGCACAGAAATTAAGTATCTGGTCACATGGATAACATCAGATGGAAGATGCATTACTGAGATAAGAAACAGAACAGGACAGGCAAAAACTGCATTTTGTAAAACAAAGAACATCTTATGCAAAATATGTTTCTGTCATTGAAGGTTAGAAAAATAATTCTTGCTTGCTACATACATCCAGTTTTAACATATGGCTGTGAGTCCTGGACAATCAGTAGGTAGGTCAAACAATTTATTGAGGCCTCAGAGATGTGGTTTTACAGAAGAATGATTAAAATACCTTGGTCAGGGGGGAAAGGCCAACCAAGAGGTTTTAAAAGAGGCGGGAGCCTGAAAAAAATCTTATCAAGACATCAAAAGGAGACAGTCTTTTTTTTTCGTCTATGTTATGAGAAGAGGGAAAATAGAACATGTTGTGACTACTGGAAAGATCAGTGGAAGGAGGGACAGAGGAAGACAACAAGGGAAGATTCTTGTTGCATGGCATTCATGTGTGTCACACGAACTGATATATGCTGCAGGAGGATCGCGGATTGTGATCGCCCACGCCAGTCGTCAAGGCACCTGTTGATGATGATGAATTATTTAGCCATCCTAAATGTAAATATTTTTGT